ATTCTTATAGATATATCCCCACCCATGTAGGTTTTTCTAGGCATAGCCCATGTAGGTTTCTACACATAGCCCATGTAGGTTTCTACACATAGCCCATGTAGGTTTCTACACATAGCCCACGTGGATTTCTACACATAGCCCATGTAGGTTTCTACACATAGCCCATGTGGATTTCTACACATGCCCCATGAGGGTTATAAAATTTAACAATGTTTAATCATAGTATGACTAAATAATATGAAAAACAATTTCTTGATTTGTTCCACATTCGGTTTGAATAGCAGTATTGTTTGACATCCAAAACCAGCAATGGACAAGTCTGGAAACTCGCATAGAGTATGTGTGGAAACTAACACAGAGTATGTGTGGAAACTCACACAGGGTATGTGTGGAAACTCACACAGGGTATGTGTGGAAACTCGCATAGGGTATGTGTGCTTTCATTGTAATATAATTATAACATGTAAAATCTTATACGTTGTAATTATACTGTACTTATAGTTTGTAAAGATTGAAATATTTTATTTTTTCTTGATTTGCTTGTCTCTTTCTTAGTCGTGGAAACGCCTTTAAAGAAATACGGTAGTTCTATGATAAGGATGGAAGCAGTGAAAAAGTGTTCAAAGTGTAAAAATGATAAGTCTAAGGAAAGTTTCAGTGGTGATAATATGCGATGTGATAAGTGTTTAAAAGCTCAAAGAGACTATCAACATAGACATAGGGAGAGAATGAACGAGGAACAAAGAATTAGATATGAAAACGATGAGGAGTATAGAAAAAAGAAACTGGAAAGGACTTATAGGAGAAATAAATATATTGTTAGTTGTGATGTTTGCAATTGTTCAATAAGTCAAGGGCATTTTGGAAGACATCTTAAAACAACAAAGCATCAACATAATTTAGGAAAGATACAAGCTGAGGAACAATGATTGGTAAATTAGATAAGGTTAATAGATGATAATGATGTATTAACCTTATGTAATATTGAGGGGTTTTATTGTAAATGAATAAGGTAATTTATTATAATGTGTCTATACTTGTTCAAAATAATTTTCAGGCTAGAAGTGCCATTTTATGTATTTTTGGGGGGGGGGGGGGGGGGGGGGGGGGTATTTTTGGGGGGGGGGGGGGGGGGGGGGGGGGGGGGGGGGGGGGGGGGGGGGGGGGGGGGGGGGGGGGGGGGGGGGGGGGGGGGGGGGGGGGGGGGGGGGGGGGGGGGGGGGGGGGGGGGGGGGGGGGGGGGGGGGGGGGGGGCGGGGGGGGCGGGGGGGGCGGGGGGGGGGGGGGGGGGGGGGGGGGGGGGGGGGGGGGGGGGGGGGGGGGGGGGGGGGGGGGGGGGGGGGGGGTGGGCGGGGGCGGGGGGGGGGGGGGGGGGGGGGGGGGGGGGGGGGGGGGGGGGGGGGGGGGGGGGGGGGGGGGGGGGGGGGGGGGGCGGCGGTGGGGGGGGGGGGGGGGGGGGGGGGGGGGGGGGGGGGGGGGGGGGGGGGG